TCAAACTGTTGGGTTGACAGGAACTGGGGAGGATACAGGAGCTCAACCCTGTTAACACGAAGGCTGGACTCGAACCGCTGAAGTGTCGACCATTTCTGGCTGGCAACTTTCAGCGTCATTAAGCCGCTGCGCCACCGCGTCCCCTTAATAATTAAAAATAATGCTAATTTATACCCTTCTAAAAGCAGAATTGAATACTATTGTGACATACATGTGTTCACATGTAACCTGACACCTATGCTGAGTTTCCATGATATGCTAAACCCAATTGCGGTGTACACTTCGTATGTAAAGACATAAAATGCTGGACAAATTAACCACATAATGGCTTAATGTGACTCCTTGGTCACACTACCTGCTAAGACAAGGACTGGCTTTGCCCAGCACCTTAAACCACAGATTATCTTACTCCATTTTAGTTTAATCCCAGCCTTCAATTATTTTGGTGCCATGTTTTATTAATGGGCATTTTGGTTCCACACCTAAAAAAATACACTTGCAACTTATCAACACACACAGAAGATCTCCATCTGATTATTATTTTGCAGAGATTTATCAGTGATTGTATTAGTAACTGGAGGAAGGGGAAAGTGCATAAAGAACTGATCACTGCAACAAGGGTATAAGCAGCATATCTAGGAATAAAAATTAGAAAAATGGAAGATCCCCGCTACATCAGGGAATTCAGAACTCCAGAATATAGCAGAAATTCTAGACAAGGCAAATCTGGGAAATTTTATTCCAAAGGGCCTTTTCCTCAAAAACTAACACACACACACACACACACACAGAGCCAGGCCATATCCACACATTCACAGAGCACTTTTAACCTGATTGTTGAATTAACTCTTTTTTCTGGGTTAGCCAAATATTCTAAAACATAAACTCACTGAAGGATCTAGACATGCACAACTGTGGCTAGCCACCAAGATCAAACCAAGGTAGTAAAACCAGTAGTCTTAACAGGTTGTGGGCATGAAGCTACATAACTTTTAACTTCCCTGGTTGAGTCTGCGGTGTGAATACAGCCCCTTATAAGTTGACGTTGGTGTGTTTCAGGTATATGATGTGGGACAACCCCTGTTTCTTTGGCTCCGTTCTTGCCATCTGCTTCATCTCCTTTCCACTCATCCCTAGGCAGTGATTTTGGTGGGGAACTGGATGGGTGTCTCATCGGCAGACCCCTTGGCCCGTTGTGATTACGTCTGCTCACTTGGTCCCACTTCTCCTTCTTTCCATAGCTGTCAGAAGAGGAGGTGGATGAATTGCGAATCCAAGGGCAGATGTTCCTTCAGCAGTTGCAGAAAGAACTGCACCTGGATGTTTTTCCAGATGTGGAACCAGAGAGAGATGCCACTACAATTCGAGTGCTTGCATCGAATGGTATGTGGCTGATGTGCAGGGCCAAGGAAGCAAAAGAGACAGATGGGGTATGCCAAGGCTTGAAGATTGGAGGAAACTAACTGCAAACCTTGACTTGGCAATGTATTGGGCACAATTTCTTGTTTATCAATTACATCCATTCTCCCAATCTGGACAACTTCAGAAGCGTGGACTTCAGTTCCCAGAATTCTCAGCAATGGCCACCCTGGCTGGGGAATGATGGGTGTTTGTCCAGACATGGAGGTTGCTCAGGTTGAGAAGCCCTGCCT